CATGACTAATTTAATAGAGGTAGCAGGAAGCAGAAAAGAAAGAAAATTAAGGATAATGCCCTAAATTCCTTACCTTTGATAATAGGAAGCTGAGAGAGACATTGCTAATAGGTCAAGAAACAAGTTTTTTTTTTTTATTTTTTTAAAGATTTTATTTATTTATTCATAGAGGCACAGAGAGAGAATGAGAGGCAGAGACCGCAGGCAGAAGGAGAAGCAGGCTCCATGCAGAGAGCCTGATGCGGGACTTGATCCAGGGTCTCCAGGACCATGCCCTGGGCTGCAGGCGGTGCTAAACCGCTGCGCCACCAGGGCTGCCCAAGAAACAAGTTTTTGATATTTTCTTGAAGCTAAAGACTACAACTAAACATATATAACAAAAAAATCCTAGAGGGAGAGGGTGATTGATTAGAGGCTTAAGGTATAAGCACAGTAATTTCCCCCATTTTTCAGAAGTGAAAATCAAAAGATGTTTAAATTGATGTAGTTTTGGAATGTTAGGTCTGGAGTTGATGGCCAGTTGAGTTCTTGAGACACTTTTGGTGCAAAAAGGTGATTTTATTAAAGCATGGAGATAGGTCCTTTGGTAGAAAGAGCTGCTGCACCGGGGTTGTGAGGAATGGCTGATTATAAACTTTCAAGTTGGAAGAGAGTTAGGGATAGTGTAAGTTTAAGAAATTTGGAAGCAAGGTTTCCAAGAGCTTGAGAGGCTAGCCGTTTGTTAGGAAAAGGCCATTTACTACTGGTTAGTAAAACCTTCCTCATGAGACCCTTCAGATGATATCAGTGGGCCATGTTTAGAGGATTGTTAACTATAACCTGGGGTGGGGGTGGAGGGCAGATCATAAAGATAAAGGAAGTTTTCAAAGGGATTTTTTTTATAGGATTCTGAACATTAACCTGGGCTAATGTCAAGCTAAGGTTGCCTTTGCTTCTGGTAAGATGTTAACATTGAAGCCCCTAAGCTTCTTGAGGAAGGTCATTCTACCTGTCTCAAGGACTTGTCTATAAGCTGTAATTTATAAGGAAGTTTAGTATTTTTCTTTTGCCTTTGTTCTCCACATCAGTAATTAAATGGGGTAATTTTGCGAATTGAAAAGCAATAATTGGGACTCATTCATTCTATAAATATTGATCCTCTAATATTGAAGTACCCCAGGGATCTGAACTTGGTCCTTTTTTCTGTCTGCACAAATAACCCAAGAACTCTCACCCAGTCTCATAGTTTTAAATTTTTAAATATGAGAGAGTGGAGGTGTGGGGCAGAGTAAAAATAATAAGCTTTACTGTGGGATCAAACTTAAGTTATCAACTTAAAATAGACTGCTATAGTTAGCAGTTGTTATATGTAAGCCTCATGACAACCACAAAATAAAAACCTAGAGTATGCACAAAAGATGAAGAGAAAGGAATATAATCATACCATTGAAGAACGTCACCAAACCACAAATGAAGAGAGTAAGAGAAGAAGAGAGGAATGCAGAGGAATTATGAAAATAGCCAGAAAGCAATGAACAAAATGGCAATAAGCACATACTTATCAATAATTATTTTTAAAAATTACTATTTTAAATCTGATTGGACTGAATAGATAAAACAACAATAACAACAACAACAACAACGAAAAACAAGACCCATCTGTATGCTGCCAAAAGAGCCCCACTTGAGATGTTAGGACACACAAAGTTTGAAAGGGGAGGGATGGAAAGATATTTCATACAAATGGAAACTAAGAGAAAGCTGGAGTAGCTATACTTATGTCAAACAAAATAGACTTTAAAACAAAAACGGTAATAAGACAAAGATGGGCATCATATAATGATAATGAGATCAATCCAACAGGAGGATGTAACATTTGTAAATATTTATACACCAACATCAGAGCATTTACGTATATAAAGCAAGTATTAACAAGACCTGAAGAAGACAGCGATACAATAATAATAAGGGACGTTAATACCCCGATATCATGGATAGATAGTCCAGACAGAAAAGCAACAGGAAAACACCACTCTTAAATAACGTGTCAGACCAGATGGAATTAATAGACATAATCAGAACATTACATCCAAAATCAACAGAATGTACAGTCTTCTCAAGGACACATGGAACATTCTCCAGAGTAGATCATATATGTTAAGCTACAAAACAAGTCTTAAGAGTATTGAAATCATATTAAGCATTACTTTTACTACAGTGGTTAGAAACTAGAAATGAATTACACGAGGAAAACTGGAAAATTTACAAATTTGTGGAGATTAGATAACATGCTACTGAGCAACTGTATGAGTCAAGAAATCAAAAGAGAAAAAAAATACCTCAAGACAAAAATGGAATCTATCAAAATTTGTGGGATACATCAAAAGCCATCCTAAGAGAGAAGTTCATAGTGATAAATGCCTATCTCAAGAAACAAGAAAAGTCTCAAACAACCTAACTTTACACCTTGAGGTAATATAAAAAGAACAAACTAACCCCAAAGTTAGTAGAAGGAAGGAAATAGCAAAGATTAGAGCAGAAATAATGAAATGGAGACTAAAAAGACAGTAGAAAAGATCAGTGAAACTAAGAGCTGGTTCTTTGGAAAGATAAACAAAATTGGCAAACCTTTACCTAAACTTGCTAAAGAGAAAAAGGACTCAAAATCAGAAATGAAAAAGGAGATACTACAACTGATACCACAGAAATACAAAGGATCATAAGAGACTACCATGAACAATTATAATCATATGCCAACAAATTGGACAATCTAGAAGAAATGGACAAATTCCTAGAAATATATAAGCTATCCAGACTAAATCATGATGAATAGAAAAGCCGAACAGATCAATTACTAGTAAAGAGATCAAATAAGCAGTAAAAACTTCCTACAAGCAAGAGTCCAAGTTTATATGGCTTCTCTTGTATATTCTACCAAACATTTAAAGAAGAATTAATATCAGTCCTTCCCAAACTCTTCCAAAACATAACAGAGGAGAAAACTCTTCTCAATTCCTTTTGCAAAGCCAGCATTACCCTGATACCAAACTAGGTAACCACAAGAAAAGAAAATTATAGGCCAATATCCCTGAGGAACATAGATGTAAAAATCCTGAAAAAATTTTTAGCAAAACTGAATTAAACAATGCATCAAAAGGATCATACACTATGATCAAGTGGGTTTATTCCAGCACTGCAAGGATGGTTCAGCATCCACAAATTAGTCATTGTGGTATGCCATATTAATAAACTACAGTATAAAAAAATTTCCATAGATGCAGAAAAGGCATTTGACAAAGTTCAACATCCTTTTATCTCAACAATGTAGATATAGAGGGAATGTGCCTCAGTATAACAAAAGCCATATATGAGAAGTCCACAGCTAACATCATATTCAGTGATGAAAAGCTGAAAACTTTCCCCCTACGGTTAGGAACAAGGCAAGGATGCTTGCTCTTGACCTTTTATTCAATATAGCATAGGAAATGAACCCTTAAAGTGGAATAGATAGGATGAAAAAAATTGGTAAAATACTTTTGGAGTTGAAGCTTTCTATGGGTGTTTTATTTTTAGTATTGTCAACTTCTAGGATAATATCTGTCAATATTCAAATATGAATTTTAGTGTGCATCTCAGACATAAATAATTTTTGTATCTGTTTTGGATTATTATTTATTCATATAGGCAATTGTGGTGACAATTCATTGCAACAAATGTTTACTAAATATGTACCATGAACTAGCACTGGGTAGATAAATGAGTAGAATGCAGTCTTTGTCCCTGAAGAGTAGATCATGAGAACAAATAATTACAATGCATTGTAATACATATAGTGAAGAAGTATACCTAAGGTTTATAAATTGAAAGTCCACTTAGCTTAGGCTAATTGTGTATTGGTTATATCAAAGAAACCAAATAATAGCCCTCCAAAGCCCAATTAAAAAGTATTAATATCAGCATTTATATTTAAGTGCAGCCTTTTAAACTTGCTAAAACAAGAAAATGTTTTTGGAACTTCAAGAAATGATCACAATTCTGCTGTCTTACTGATTTTGGTTTTGTTGGCGCGTTTAAGGAAGGATTATTAAAGAGGTTATTAGAGACTTTTGAATATATAAAGTTATATGAATTCAGATTGGAGATTTTGTTAGAATTCAGAAGAAAAACATTTGTAATAAAGACATGCTTCTAAGACTTTTAGAAATAAGCTATAAAAGTGATACATATTCATTGTAAAAATGGGGAAACAGAAACACAGAGTATTTTATATATAGTGTTCTGTAATTTGCCTTTTTCACCTAATGTGGCCTTCTTTCTAGTTTATATATAAAGAAAATACGTAACAAGTATGTAAAAAGCTACCTAATTTTTAGAAATCGCTGCACAATATTCCATTGTATGTCTATATATAGTATAATATAAACAAACTCCTAATGATTGACATTAAGGTTGTTCCAGTTTTTTTTATATCTTTACTTTGTTGAATATGTTTATTTATCTTTGTGCATTTGTATAAACACATGTGGCATAATTATTAGCCTTGCAATTACTGGATTAAAGTGTACATATTTTAAATTGCCCTTCCAAAAATTGTTATGATCTATATTCCTCTCACAAAAGTGTATGAGAATGCCTGTTTTCCTTCATTCTTGCCAGTGTTAGCAATATTAGCACACTTTTTAGTTTTTGCCAATGTGATCATGAAAAAAAGAACATTTTATTTCCTTAATTGTAAATAGATTTAAACATCTTTTTAAACTTTGAACAATCTCATCATATCTGTAACTTGTTCTTGCTATTCTTCACTTGGTATCTAGATATATTTTTTCTTCTTTCATTTTTCTCTGAACCTGAAAGCATTCTTTAAAACACATGTCAAAATTTGTTTTCTCCATTGTTGGATTTCCCAATAACCTCAGCCTAGGATGATTTCTCCTTCCCAATAGGCTTACTGCTTTATTTTCCATTTATCACAGTTTTATACTAGTCCTAATACGTATGATTTTTTTTTTTTCTTCTAGGATTTCCAAATTTACAGGATGGCTGAACATTAATGGAAAGAGAAGCATAAACTTACTTTCTTTCACTATGGATGCAGGTTTGGCAGATGGAGAACCCGATCAAACTTCGGTAAGTGGTTCAAATACAGTGTAAATACATCTACAGCTGTGAAGTGTTTGATTTTATTCAAACACTTTATTCATTTTATTCAAAAAATGTATTTAAAACAAACTTTAAAAAAGAATTTAAAAATAATTATTTATCTGAAAAAAAAAAAAACAGATAAATTTAACACTTGTTGAAACAGAACCCAGTTTTCTGATAGCTCCTTCCTGTCTTCCCCCTCTGCTTACTTGTATTAACTTGGTCCCAACCCTTGGGGTGGTAAATTCTTTGGGAACGCAGAAGCCAACTTTTCTGTTTCATATTGCTATGGAATTAAATTGAGTTGTTTGTAAATTTTGACTTCGTAAAAGTCTTCATTTAGACTCAAATGTAGGAGTAGTCTAATGACTGATAGCAAAATGCAATTTTGTTTGTGTTAACTTTTTCCAGCCTTTTCTGAACTTCTGGCTCAAACTTGTTTAAGTTTCTTAAAGGGTCAAAAAAAGTTAAACTTTAAAATAACTTGTTAATAGAAAACAAAATGGGCATAGAAGTAATTTGGCTTAAGAAGGTTATTGTCACAACGATTATAAAAGGAAAACTGATGGTAGGTTATTTTATTTTCACTATGATTTCAGCAAAAAATTAAAATTAAAGCTTTGTCTTAGAACATGTTTACTTTGCCTTAAATGTCTTATTTAAAGTTAATAGATTTTCTTAACTCTTTTACCTGAAATAGTTTTAATTTCTTATTTATAATAAAGAAAATGCCTGTGATAACAACAACTGCTATTCTCTGTATACTTTGTCAGACTGCCCTCACAACAGCCACTAAAGGTAGCTTTTTGTTTATTCTCACTTTTATAGAAAGAGAGAAGGGCTCTGAACTGGAGGTTAATTATCTTCTCTAAGACTTCACAGCTTAAGGGGTGTCTCAGTACTTTGCCACTAATGTGTTGACTCTGTGCCTGTCTTTCTGAATAGAATTGTTTAAAATTTGCTGTTACCTTTTGAGAGATATAGCAAGCAGGAGTAGGGAGGAGCAGAGGGAGACGGAGAAGTAGACTCCCCGCTGAGCAGGGACCCACCCCCCCACCCCCCACTCCAATGCAGGCTTGATCCCCGACTCCAGGATCATGACCTTGAGCCAAGGCAGACACTTAACCAACTGAGCTACCCAGGCACCCCAATAGTATTAAATTCTATACCAGAATACCTGTGCTATATTAATAAAGTTTTATTCCCTTTTTTATTCCAAATCCTTTTGATATAGAGATTGGAGCAAGATATTTAAAAAGCAATGAGAACAGTTTTCTTTTTCTTGTTAATTAGTTTTCTTTTGTGAAATATTGTACCTTATTTTAGAGAGAATAATACCAGTAATTCCAGTTGAACTACTGAAATATTCTATATTTGAAACTAATCTTGAGATCTACTTTTGAGTTACTTATTTATAAAATATCACCTTTGAACTGCACAGTCTAAGCTAGTTACTATTTAGTCTAGAAGTGGGTAAGAACATGGGCTTTGTAGATCTTCAGCTACATGTTACAGTCTAAGCTCTTTTGCTTGGTTGTATGATCTGGGTAATTAATTAAATTCTCCAGGTTTTCAGTTTCCTCATCTATTATATAAAGATAATAGTAGTATCTACCTTCCACAATTGTTTTGAGTTTTGAGATCATATATCTGTAAAGTGCCTATTACAAAGCCACAGACTTTATAAATAGCCAATAAATAAAAGCTAGTATTCGTATTGTTGATATAACTAGCTGTATTAAGTCTTCTCTCCAAAAAGATAATTAGAAGGCAGGAGAGGCAATAAAATACATTGAAAAAAGCTGTAGGCTACTCAGTAATGTGGGAGTTATACTTTCTCAGAATCTCAGTTTTTCTTCGTAGAATATTGAGGCAAACATTCTGCTTCAATAAAAAAATATATAGGTAAGATTATTCATTCTACTTGATAGAGACAGTATGATCTAGAGAAACCAGAAATTTCTTTGAAAATAGGAAGCAATATGTCAGTATGAGTTGGTAGTGTTTTTAAAAATAATAAAATGCACTAGTTTTTAAAATATTATTAAACTTTTTTTGAATGTAGCCTTGATACAAATTACTATGCCTGGTGAAAGGGATGCCAAGAGGTAATACAAAATAGTCTGTCTCAATTAGGTTTATTGGGGAAAACTAGCTAGATGGATAGCTAAGGCAGTAACAGATTTACTGAGTGTTTTTTTTTTTAAGATTTTATTTATTTATTTATGAGAGACAGAGAGAGAGAGAGAGAGAGAGAAAAGCAAGCTCTATGCATGGAGCCTGACATGGGACTCGATCCCGGGTCTCCAGGATCAGGCCTTGAGCTGAAGGCAGGTGCTAAATCGCTGAGCCACCCGGGCTGCCCGATTTCCTGAGAGTTAAGTGATGGACATAAACAAGGCATAGTTTACAAGCTGTGAAAAGTGGGTGGTTGTTATACACTGGGGTAGTTAGAAAAGTTTTCTTAAAGAGAATGTAAACTTTGACTAGCACAGGTAAATGGTGAACATAGGATTGAAAATGAGCAAGGAGAGCATTCTAGGAAGGGAGAATAAAAAGAGGCAAAGCTAAATGGGAGAATTAATTGCTTATGGGTTTTTTTTTTCCTAAGGGACAAATGAATTAGAAAAATTAAGGTATATTGCAAAGTAGTGTTATTTACAGGAATAATAATTTATGAGTCAGAGAGAGACCAAAATTGTAGAAAGTTTTGAGTACCAGACCCAGGATTTTAAACTTGATTGTGTAAGTCATGGTATGTCATTGAATATTTTATGTAGATAGATGAATCTGGAAGCAAGATATAAAATGATTAGGAAGAGTAAAAGATAGTAAGAGACTATTATAGTGGTCTGGATGTAAGGTTGTGAAAGCTTGGATTCAGTATGACTATTAGTGTCCATTGATTTAATATTCTTCTGCAACGCCTGGGTGGCCCAGTGGTTGAGAGACTGCTTTTGCTCCCTCCATGGAGCTTGCTTCTCCCTCTTCCTGTGTCTCTGCCTCTCTCTCTCTGTCTCTGTCTCTCATGAATAAATAAATAAATTCTTTAAAAAAATTAATATTCTTTTTCCATAGAGGATTACTTTTTCTATTCTTCTTTTAAGTAGGCTCCACACCCAATGTGGAGCCCAACCTGGGGCTTGAAGTCATGACCCTGAGATCAAGACCTAAGCTGAAATCAAAAGTCAGACATTTAACTTGACAAAGCCACCCACACAACCCTACTTTCTCTATTTTTAAAAAATTCTTTGACTCATTCGTTACTCTACTTGTGTATAGTTCAATTTTTATGGTAGTTTTGTCTTAGGCAGTAAATACTGAAAAATATGGATTGAATCTCTGTACCTGGAACTAATCTATTTTAGGACACAAATATATATTTAATATGTGTCTTTTGATATTTTGTAAAAGTCCAGAACTTAGATTTAGAAATTAACCACTAAGAAAAGCTTGAGTTAAATTTTTATTAATAGATTGAGGTAGACTGTGAAATATTTTTTTAGATTAAAAAAATTGAATGTTTTTCACCTTTGGGAAAGTCATTATATCTTTTGAGTATCTTATATATTATTTCTGTTGCCAGAAGAAACTTTCTTTAGAAGTCTATTAACAGGTAAAAATCTTTTGTTGTATTAAAAATGTTTTATATAAATGACTTTTCAGAAAAGAATACAGTTTTTAAAATATGTATGAATCTTCTCACTTGAAGTAATCTTTCTTAAGATTCTAATGTAAATTGGGTATTTTGAATCAAGGGTTTCTGAAATGGAAGGAATGCAAAGATGATTTAGTTCAGTAATTCTTAGAATGTAGTAAATGAGTATCTTCTAATGGGCCTAGAGATTATCCAACTTCCCGAAACTTTTCTTTTTACACACTTAAACTAGATGAGTTTTTCAGGATTACGAGTGCTTTGGTATTCATAAAGTAAAATTGGTATGTTATTAGACTTTACTGAGAGCTTTAAATCCTAATCTAAGAACTGTGACTACTATATATAATATTTGGCAACATTGTATAGCTTGTATATTTGGGCATGCAAGTTAATGGAATTGCCCCAGTGTTTGGTAGCATCAAGTATTATTTTGAGTGGATCAGAGTTTTAAATGTTGCAATTCTTCTTCCTTTTATAAATATTATTAGCTTAACTTCGTTGTTACGGATTTGATTAGTTTTGTGTTCTTAGTGATAATTTTTTTAGCAACAGTATTTTAGTATACAAATTTCCTAATAATTGATCTTTGAGACATGTATGCATTCAAGTCTAATTATAAATTATCCATATGCTAATTTCTTATCATTCCAAAATATTCTTGTATAATGGCACTTTTTTGTTCTTATTAGATACTCCCTCCATGGAAAGCAGGAATGTATGGAGGACTGTGAAGTCTCTTGTCTAATCTATAATAAATGGGCCTCAGAGTTTGAGGGTCACCAAATTTGGCACATCCTCTTATCTAACATTTGACTGTCCTTTAAGACCAGCTTGTTATGTGTTTTGCAAATGTTTAGATACTTGAGAGAGGCTGTTCTCTTTTCTTTCCCTTTAACAAAGGGGGAAGAAGGAAATAAAAGCCTTTTGAAAATGTCCAAGTCCTTTGACTACTTTTCATCCTTCGCCTTTGTAGGAAACTTAGAGATCATTTATTTAGTCTAATGATTTACCTAATGTAAGAATTCTATCTATAGTATCCCCCAGCAGCTCATCATCCAGCCTCTGAATTGAACATATGATAGATAACATAGAGTGTCAAAGACCTCTTAAATCATTATGTTTGAACTTGAAAAGGCTTCTCTGTTAAATTTCACTGTTGTCATTAGACTAGTTTCCTATTGCCGCTGTAACAAGTTAACAGAAATTTGGTGGCTTAAACCACAAATTTATTATCTTATAGTTCTGGATATAAGAAATCTAAAAGCAAGATGATGTGTTCCTTCTGGAGCCTCTGAGAGGAGAACTTATTTCCTTATCAGTGTTTAAA